CGACTAAAAATTTTTATTCGCCCCATCGGTAGGTCTGGTCGAGACATTTCCGAATCTGTGCCGCAATCCGGTCTCCGTCACTGGCAACATCCTCAAAAAACGATTAAATAGGCCTAAATTCGACAAAATCCACTCAATCTTCAAAAAAGGGGACCGACCGACTAAAAATTTTTTTTCGCCCCATCGGTAGGTCTGGTCGAGACATTTCCGAATCTGTGCCGCAATCCGGTCTCCGTCACTGGCAACATCCTCAAAAAACGATTAAATAGGCCTAAATTCGACAAAATCCACTCAATCTTCAAAAAAGGGGACCGACCGACTAAAAATTTTTATTCGCCCCATCGGTAGGTCTGGTCGAGACATTTCCGAAACTGTGCCGCAATCGGGTCCCCGTCACCGGCAACATCCTCAAAAACGATTAAATAGGCCCAAATTCGACAAAATCCACTCAATCTTCAAAAAAGGGGACCGACCGACTAAAAATTTTTATTCGCCCCATCGGTAGGTCTGGTCGAGACATTTCCGAAACTGTGCTGCAAGGCAGCGGGCGCGCGGGCGAACGTATCTTCGGCGTGTGTTCGTGGTTTTTTTCATTCGCGTCGCTCGTTCGCTCGCTATGTAACCTAACTTGAACTTAACCTAAAAGGAACGTAACTTTAACGTAACTTAAAACTAATGTAACCTAAAAATAACCTAACCTAAAGGTTACCTAACCTAACTTACTTAACTTACCCAACCGTAATTTACTAGCAAGGGGAAGGCCTTCGGCCTCGATGCTGAGCTGGATTCTGCTGGAGATGGAAATTCCTTTTTCATCAGTAGTAAATTTAGATGTGTTTATTTTGAAAATGAGCCTCTTTTCTTTTTGGGGGGTGATAGCCAGGAAGTATGCTTTTGCACGAAGGATTGTGATTCGGCAATGGTTGGTTTTTCCTTATCGACGAAAGGCTATTTAATAATCTAAAACTAAATGTTCCAACCAATCCTAACCTAACCTAACGGGCTCCTGACAGATCTTACTCTACTCGTGACAGATCTTACCCTACTCTCGACAGGTCTTATTCTCAAACTAAATGGTCCAACCAATCCTAACCTAACCTAACGGGCTCGTAACAGATCTTTCTCTACTCTCGACCGATCTTATTCTCAAACTAAATGTTCCAACCAATCCTAGCCTAACCTAACGGGCACGTGACAGATCTCACTCTACTCGCGACAGATCTTACCCTACTCTCGACAGATCTTATTCTCAAACTAAATGGTCCAACCAATCCTAACCTAACGAGCTCGTGACAGATCTTTCTCTACTCGTGACAGATCTTTCCCTACTCTCGACCGATCTTATTCTCAAACTAAATGGTCCAACCAATCCTAACCTAACGGGCTCGTGACAGATCTTACTCTACTCGCGAAAGATCATACCCTACTCGCGACAGATTTTATTCTCAAATTAAATGGCCTATGAAGTTTGGCGTACGACTATGGAGCTTGGATTATTGAGCTTGGACTATAGAATATGGACTATGGAGCTTGGACTCTAGAGCTTGGACTGTAGAGCTTCGACTATGTATACGCATATGAATATAGTAAAAATAAACAGAGGAAGATACCTTTTGTTTAGGCCTGACGCTGTTGTCCGGGACATTTTGCTGTTGTCGTGGACATTTGATCCAGGAAGCGGAAGAAGGGAATAACTTGACTTATCCCCAAAATGAGTTTTTATTTTATTATTGTGCCTTAGAATGGTTTACATCATTACACCAAATTATTTGACTGAATTCCAAGCAGTTTAGGAGAAAATCCACTTGGAAAAAGGGTATAACTCAACTTAACCCCTTTTACAGTCCAAATTGCATTGGAAAATGGAGATAACTCAACCTTGGTCTACATGAGTCCGTTTGACAAACTGGCAAAAGGATATAACTCAACTTGTGTTTTTATGAATCTAGTGTAAAAAGAATCAACTCAACTTAACCCCCCCTAAATTTTAAATTTCAATTTGGAAAAAAGAGCTAAGTCCAAAAAATGCACCAGAGTAACATACACTTTATGCAGACTATTGTTCCACTTGACTTGTCTCCAAATTCCTCTTTGTTTAGGAAATATAAGGTGAGCTGACTCTGTTTTCCATTTCAACGGAAAGTGATAAGTCACAGAAATCCTCTACGGAGTGACCTTACACTTTTGATTTTTTTTCCAAAATTTTACTAATGCTTTTTGAAATTATTAACATGTGCAACATTCATTTGTTTTGTTTTAGTTTTCCCTGCTAACAGTTTTTTGTTTCTCCTGAAAAATGGCCAAAATTGAGTTATCCCCTTCTTCCGCTTCCTGGATCATTTAGGATCGTCACATTGACATTTTTGTTTGGGCCTGAGTTTGTTGTCCGGGACATTTTGCTGTTGTCCTGGACATTTTAGAGCGTTACGAACATCAGTTGTCCCGGACATATAGGAGCGTCACGAACAGACATCTTCGTTTGGCTTGAGGTTGTTGTCTGGGACATTTAACAGTTGTCCTGGACATTTAGGAGCGTCACGAACAGACATCTCTTTTTAGGCCTGAGGTTGTTGTCCGGGACATTTTGCGGTTGTCCCGGACATTAAGGAGCGTCACGAACAGACCTCTTTTTAGGCCTGAGGTTGTTGTCCGGGACATTTTGCAGTTGTCCCGGAAATTAAGGAGCGTCACGAACAGACAACCTTTGTTAGGCCTGAGGTTGTTGTCCGGGACATTTTGCAGTTGTCCCGGACATTTAGGGGCGTCACGAACAGACAACCTTTGTTAGGGCTGAGGTTGTTGTCCGGGACATTTTGCAGTTGTCCCGGACATTTAGGAGCGTCACGAACAGACATCTTTTTTTAGGCCTGAGGTTGTTGTCCGGGACATTTTGCAGTTGTCCCGGACATTTAGGAGCGTCACGAACAGACATCTTTTTTTAGGCCTGAGGTTGTTGTCCGGGACATTTTGCAGTTGTCCCGGACATTTAGGAGCGTCACGAACAGACATATCTTTTTAGGCCTGAGGCTGTTGTCCGGGACATTTTTCTTACGTCACGAACAGACACGCAGATTGGCAGGCTGGCGAGTAGCGCTACGCCGAGTTCGCTCGCTGCCGCTCGCGAACTCGCTCCGCGAAAAAGGGGACCGACCGACTAAAATTTTTTATTCGCCCCATCGGTAGGTCTGGTCGAGACATTTCCGAAACTGTGCCGCAATCGGGTCCCCGTCACCGGCAACATCCTCAAAAACGATTAAATAGGCCTAAATTCAACAAAATCCACTCAATCTTCAAAAAAGGGGACCGACCGACTAAAAATTTTTATTCGCCCCATCGGTAGGTCTGGTCGAGACATTTCCGAAACTGTGCCGCAATCGGGTCCCCGTCACCGGCAACATCCTCAAAAACGATTAAATAGGCCCAAATTCAACAAAATCCACTCAATCTTCAAAAAAGGGGACCGACCGACTAAAAATTTTTATTCACCCCATCGGTAGGTCTGGTCCAGACATTTCCGAAACTGTGCCGCAAACGGGTTCCCGTCACCGGCAACATCCTCAAAAACGATTAAATAGGCCTAAATTTATCAAAGTCCACTCAATCTTCAAAAAAGGGGGCCGACCGACTAAAAAATTTTTTTCGCCCCCTCGGTAGGTCTGGTCGAGCGGTTTCTGGAACTGTGCCGCAATCGGGTCCTGGTCACCGGCAACATCCTAAAAAAAAGATTAAATAGGCCTAAATTTAACAAAGTCCACTCAATCTTCAAAAAAGGGGACCGACCGACTAATAATTTTTATTCGCCCTATCGGTAGGTCTGGTCGAGACATTTCCGAAACTCTGCCGCAATCGGGTTTTTGTCACCGGCAACATCCTCAAAAACAATTAAATAGGCCTAAATTTAACAAAGTCCACTCAATCTTCAAAAAAAAGGGGGCCGACCGACTAAAAATTTTTATTAGCCCAATCGGTAAATCAAGTCGAGACATTTCAGAAACTGTGCCACAATCGGGTCCCCGTCACCGGCAACATACTCAAAATCAATCATCAATTGTCATCAAGAACCTATAAGCCCCAAAATCCGACTGACTGACTTCCTCACTCAAAGAAATGTTTGGGGTCGAGGAGTGGTCGTAGAGACTTAAGGTTTTTTTCCTTTCACCTCTATCCTTGTCAAAGCAGTCTTCAATATTTTCCGGACCTTGTATGCACCCATTGACTGCCACAGTAGCCAATGCAATACAAGCTATCTATTTGGGCAGTAAAAGTAGCCTTATTATATGGTCAAAAGCGGTTAAATAGAGCTTTCAAAGAAGCAGGACATTTACTTCCTTAGAAAATTTGCCTTTGCTCACCACGGACTTACTGAAAATACTTCGGCACGCGCTCCACACATGCGGGGGTCTGGGGGCGGAGCCCCCAGCGAGCAGCGCGAGTTGTGATTATAAACCATTCCAAAGTAAAATCAGTGTCGCGGTCAATTAATTTGTACACGATTGTTCAATGTACAAATACAACTTTTGTACAACATTCATTACAAGTTTACATCCGGTACGTAGATGCAGGGTCGATGATAAGTAAGCTCACACCCGCAGTAACTCCGTGTTATGCAAAGCACCAGTAAAAAAACATTCAGGATACAAGGGGAAGAGATGGAGGGGAAAAGTGATAAATTGGGTACGACAAGGTAGCGGCAGGAGAAAAGATAGTAGGTGAAAAGGTGTCGTTTCTACAGGATATGATACTGTAGAACAAACGTAGGTAGGGCAAAGTAACTAGATTCGAAAGGCTAACTGCGCTCAGGGCGTGGCGACTTTTCGGGGAATCCCCCGGACGCCGGCCGGGTTACTGAACTCGTTTTTGTTTGGCTTTGCACTGGCGCCTGATAACACCAGTTTCATCCACGAGGCAATGCGGCGTTTTCGGGCCACGGCCGGCCCAGGGTCGACGGGGAACCCCCCTGCTGCCCGTTGGGCAAGGTCACGGGCAGTGGGAGTCCACGAGACACTCTGAATGTGCTGTGAGGACCAAGTCGCCTCGGAAGAGGAGTAAGATCAGTCGGAAGAATCGGCCCTCATGTTTGGAGGTTGTTTGATGCCTCCGTTCGCCCCAGCACCGTAAGAGATGAATGGGAAAAAATACATCGAAGGTTCCGTAAGTTTCTATATTAACGTTTGTATAAGATTTCACCCATTTGCGATACTTTTACGAATGATGTTTCGAGCCGCGCTGCGATCATGCCGATGTGTGCCTGGCCTGTCGAAGGCACATGAAACGCCGCAGGCCAGGTAGGAGTTAACGCCAGGCGTGGATCGTTTTGCATGGAGCACACTGTTAAAAACAGTGTTGTAATTTAGCAGTAAATATGTTGCTAATTTTGTGAGTGATCAAAGTTGTTTACAGACGACTTAAGTTGTTAACTGATGACTTACGTTGTTCGTCAACAAGATGTTTGTAATCCAGTAGACAGGCTTATGAGGATCAATTTTGATTGCCGATAGAGTCCCAGATCTAGTTGAGTCCCGGTGACCGGCAGAAGTCACTAATTGGTTTGTCGGGGTTGTTTGTACACAGCAAAAGATTGTTCTAGAACATCAAGAGTCAGAAAAAAAATTGCATCAAATTCGTTCTTTTTAAATAAAGAAATTTGCGTTTTATCAACAGCGTTGTCTAGTTTGGTAATTCTGTTGTCATGTAATAACCATTTTCAACAGTGAAGCATCGCGAGGTCTCACTGAGAATGAAAGTCTTGATCGATCACCCAAATTTAGGCAAGGAAGAATGTCTCAACTACACTCTAAATATGGAGTGCCCAGAAACTGGGCGCCTTTGTCGCCCGCTCCACTTTTTAGGGTGCCAAATGTCGCCCGGTTTCTGGGCACCTCTGTCGCCTAGTCTCGGGGTGGACAAACCATTAAGGAACCTGCCTTCACCCATGGCTCAGCAGCACCTAAGGTGCAAAAGCTGCCCAGAATCTGGACGCCTTACACTGTGGCAAAAAGGTACGGAAAATTCTGTTAATTTTTTTGCCAGAATTCTCCGTAGACCTCTTATCAATATTCTCCGTAGGCTCTTACAGTATTCTTCGTAGGGCCGCACAGTATTCTCTGTAAGTCCGCACAGTCTTCTCCGTAGGACATGGAAGACTGTATAGTCCAACGGAGATCACTGTAAGGTCCTACGGAGAATACTGTGCGGTCCTACAGAAAATACTGTAAGAGCCTACAGAGAATATTGATAAGGGGGCTACGGAGAATTTACCACAAGCTGTTTACAGAATATTCCGTAGCTTTTTGCCACAGTGTAGTCACCCAGGAACTAGACACCTGTGCATACTCTACCATGGGAGAGAGCCGGTTACTGTATGATTTGTGCACCCCGAGACTGGGCGACATTGCGCACCCTGAAAAGTGGGGCACGCGACAAAGGCGCCCAGTTTCTGGGTACTCCACATATAGAGTGTACGTGTATGGCTACGTATTATCACCCAAATTTGCGCGAGGAAACCTTCCTCATCCAAATTTGGGCTAAAAAGAATTCCAAAATGGTAGTGCTGACCATGATGCGACCATCACAGAGACGCAGGTATACAATTATCTTAAAATAACTTTCTCTCTTTTCTAGGTCTTCCAAGGCTTGATTTTCGCGTTGACATTGCTAATTGGAGGTAAAAGAGTTTGCTACCGTCAACGGGGGTTCCTTTGAACAACTGGGGTAGCTTGGGATGGGTTGCTCCCTTTTAAGTACAGAGCATTGTATCCCGCGCATGCCGCCAAGCATGTACTGACTAGTGCATACGTGCCAGGTGCACACTAATTGAAGCATTTCAGTGCCTCAGGGGAGAAGAGATGTCTGCAACGGGAAGCGCGTACATGGCATGAATGCATTACGAGTTAGTGCATGCTTGGCAGGCATACCGTACACTGAAAATAGAAAGGTCAGACTTTTGACCACTAAGGGTCTTACTGAAATTTACAACCGAAAAAGGGTCATACTTCGATGTATGACCGAAAAATGGTCATACTTTATAGTGTATCACAGGTATAGGCTGATATATCCCGAAGCCAAACAATAGACAGTCTCGCTGATGTTTGACCTTTTTATGGTCATGTATGAATACATCTAAGTGTGACCCTTTTTCTGTCATACATTTGTGTATGACCGTTTTTCGGTCATACTTTGTGTATCCCCGAAAATCGGTCAGATGTCTCACCCTTCGTATTTCAGTGTACCAAGAGCGTCCGTGCAAGGTTGCAACAGCTTATATTGTACGCTTTTCGATTTGAAACGTAGGTGCGAATGGACATGACGAAACTTTGAGAAAACGACCCTTTTGGCCTCCCTACTAAGTCATGTAATTGCTTTGTACCGTATGTACTGCGGGAACTAGTCAGTCTACACTGTCATTCAAACTGCGATAACCACTGTCTATATTTTGCAATAAAAAACTTATCACATTTTTTTGGCTATGATAACAACTTTAAAACTGCTATCGCAAACTCGGTTTTATCGCAAAAATTTGTAGTAAAAGTATCGCGAAATGAATGACAGTGTACTTCTGAACGAGATTCATGAATGCAGAAATATGAAGTGCGCATGACCCATCTTCACGGAGTTGATTTCTCGAACTGGGCAGCATACACGATCTGTGAACAGAACCAACAAAATCAGTGTTTGATTCGTTTCAGTGTTGTGTGAAACATCGCGAGGGCCTGCGAGAGGCAGACTTCCGCAATGCCCTAGGACTGCCAGTGCCAGTGGCGTGAGGCTTATATACGAGCACCCATTTCATTGCACGAAATTTATTGAGTGCTGGGGGGTAAGTTAAAGTTAACACATAAGTCTTGTATGACCTGAAAATTACCCAGTCAGAAAAAGGGTTTTAACTGCACTGGAGTAGCGGGCTTCGCTGTCGCTCAGCCAGAAGTGCTTGAGAACTTTGGGGGGGGGGGGGGGGGGGGGAAGCTGCCTACCCACAGGGGGCGACTTTTTACCTACACGGCAAAAACCGAACCTGGTTTTCTCAGGAAGCCTATGGTAGAGACCTACGCGATTTCCAGGGAGTTCCTGGGAAAACCAGGAACCGTTTCTACCGTGTACCTTTCAGGCGACTCCTCCACCACTATAAACACTGTGAATTCAAAGGCGATACTTTTACCTTTTTTGGCGAGACAATTGATTATCGCCAATAAACGGCCTTACAGAACAGGCAAGTATCGCGAAAATTTGGCGATACTTTGGAGTACTGCCACCATTTGGCAATAAACGTTGATCAAATCAAGGGGACGAGTTCTTAGTTAAATGCCGTGGTTTTGGCAATACTTTTCCGTAAGGCCGTTTATTGACGATACTCAATTGTATCACCAAATCGCTTTAGCATTTGCAGTGAATCTAAGAGTTACCCGTCATTTTGTTTATTTTTTTCTTTGAATTTGGCAGGCACAACGAACAGTAAAAGACTGTCCACCAGGCACGGCATTTAGCAAAAGATTGCGTGCTTGTGATCATTTCCACAACGTGGACGAATGCGGAGTCAGTGGCTATTCAATCTGCCAGGGCGTCAAAGGTAAGAACATTTGAAAATGCAGGTTTCAATGATTGCGATTGCGTTGGAGCCAGGGCGCTCACGAAACTTAAGAGTGTACATAGGGCACTCTTACTAGAGCATGCTCCAGCTCAAGGCACTTCCTTATTTACAGCCTATATGCCAGGCACACGTCAAACTTGTGTACTGTGAATGCTATAAATCAGAGTGTGCTTGGAAGCTTGCTTGGATAATTGAAAATTATTGAAAAAAAAATTGACTTTGGCGTCAAGGCTTCCAGTGTAGGACTTGCCTGGTTTCGAGTATTCACAGATATTTTTCTTATGGACGTTTTCTTTTTGAAGAATTAGGGTGTGTTTGTCGATGTTGCAGATTATGAGTGTGGAAAAGCCCCAGCCTCGTTTCATCACGTTCCAAACTCAAACAGATTGGATAACGAGGCAGCCAAAAACTTCCCCTGGCACGCTGCTATATATCGCAAGGAAAGAGGGAAATTTCAGCATGTGTGTGGAGGAGCTCTAATTCTGCCGAACTTGGTTCTTACAGGTAATGATATTATCAATACAGAAAGGGCCTGTGTCTATTATTCTAGTTGATTTGTCTATGACTAATATTATATACACGCAGCGTTTAAATAATAAAATTGGACTCTATGTACACGCAGCGTGCACATAACAGAAAAAAAATTATTGACACGCAGGATTTTTCCCCTCAGACGTCCACCGACGGTGGCCATGTGGGACAAAATGTTCCTGCGTGCAAATAATATTTTGGCTTTTATTTAAACGCTGCGTGTCTCCAAGGCACCAAAAAATTATTGGCACGCAGGATTGTAAAAAGTCTTCCGACCGGCAACTGAGTCCGGCATGGCGGCTTGGTGGGTGAGTGGGTCCGTGCTTGCACGGGAATTTTTTGGCCCGGGTTCAAGACTCGCCTTCTTCTCAAAAAATTTCTGCGTGTCAATAATGAAAACCGGTGTTGTTTCAACGCTGCGTGTTTATAATAAATTCACATGTTATTTACACGTAGCGTGTCTCCATTTCTAGTTTTATTATTTACACGCAGGAAAAGTTTTGCTGCGCGCAAATAATATTTTGGCTTTTATTTAAACGCTGCGTGTCTCCAAGACACCAAAAACTTATTGGCACGCAGGATTGTAAAAAGTCTTCTGACCGGCTACTGAGTCCGGCATGGCGGCTTGGTGGATGAATGGGTCCGTGCTTGTACGGGAATTTTTTGGCCCAGGTTCGAGACTTCGCCTTTTTCTCAAAAAATTTCTGCGTGCAATAATAAAACTGGGTCTTGCAGACACGCTGCGGTAAATTACATGTGAATTATTATAAACACGCAGCGTTGAAACAACACCGGTTTTCATTATTGACACGCATAATTTTTTTGAGAAAAAGACGAAGTCTCGAACCCGGGCCAAAAAATTCCCGTGCAAGCACGGACCCACTCACCCACCAAGCCGCCATGCCGGACTCAGTCGCCGGTCGGAAGACTTTTTACAATCCTGCGTGCCAATAATTTTTTGGTGTCTTGGAGACACGCAGCGTTTAAATAAAAGCCAAAATATTATTTTCACGCAGCAAAACTTTTCCTGCGTGTAAATAATAAAACTGGAATTGCAGACACGCTGCGTGTAAATAACATGTGAATTTATTATAAACACGCAGCGTTGAAACAACACCGGTTTTCATTATTAAGGGGGCAGTAGCGTCATTTTCACGTGTTTTGACGATTTTCGAACCTCCTGTTTAGACGTTAATATAAAGATAAGTATGAATGCCAGAGACAAACGGCAGGCACCATTTGAAAGATAAAAGTTTTTACAACATTTTCAAAAAAAAAATATTTTGTTTTGGCATTGAATTAGGATGTTTTGTGTTCTATGCAAAAAAGGTCTGCAAAATTACATGGTGTCACTGCGCGCACGATTGCAGCCAAAGTTTTAACTTTTTACCAATCGGTAAAATGCATCTGAAAAAGCATGAAATTGCCCATAAAATGACCCTTGGGTTTCAATATTGGGCAAGAAAAACTATTGAAACGCTCATCTTCAACTTAAGATGGAAACGAACCACATTTTTTCTGGCCCAATATTAAAACCCAAGGGTTATTTTATGGGCAATTTCATGCTTTTTCAGATGCATTTTACCGATTGGTAAAAAGTTAAAAAATTTGGCTGCAAACGTGCGCGCAGTGAAACCATGTAATTTTGCAGACCCTTTTGCATATAACAAAACATCCTAATTCAATGCTAAAACAAAATATTTTTTTTGAAATGTTGTAAAAACTTTTATCTTTTAAATGGTGCCTGCCGTTTGCCTCTGGCATTCATACTTATCTTTATATTAACGTCTAAACAGGAGGTTCGAAAATCGTCAAAACACGTGCAAAAGACGCTACTGCCCCCTTAACACGCAGAAATCCTTTGAGGAAAAGGCAAATCTCGAACCCGGGCCAAAAAATTCCCGTGCAAGCACGGACCCACTCACCTACCAAGCCGCCATGCCGGACTCAGTCGCCGGTCGGAAGACTTTTTACAATCCTGCGTGCCAATAATTTTTTGGTGCCTTGGAGACACGCAGCGTTAAAATAAAAGCCAAAATATTATTTACACGCAGCAAAACTTTTCCTGCGTGTAAATAATAAAACTGGGCCTTGGAGACACGCTGCGTGAAAATAAGATGTGTATATATTATATACACGCTGCGTGTATATAAGACCCATTTTTATTATTTAAACGCTGCGTGTCTATAATGACTCCGTTTGTCTATAGTGAAAGTGAACTCACTTGCATCAATAAGATCAATAAATATGTTTGACCTCTCACTTGTTGAGAGAATGTCATTATATTAAAATCACCACATATTGCTGGTTTGTTTCTAGCTGTATTAAGTATTACATTTTGTAATGTTTCCATAGCAGTATTGAAATTGTCTATGTTTTCAATGGACGGTGGTCGATAGACACCAACAATATTGAGTATGAGGTCCTGTTTTTCTACTCTGATGGCTGCCATTTCAATTACATTTGAAATGGAACAATTCCTAATTGATTGAATTTCAGATACATACTTTTGGAGCTCTTTATTTACTATTATAATCACTCCCCCATAACCATTAAGTCTAGAGTAAGAAGATACAGTAGAATAGTCCATGAAAGTTAGCAGTTCCGCTTCAAAAGGCTTTAGCCAGTGTTCAGTGAGTACAGCAATATCTGGGTTATTATCAGCTAGCATACTCTCAATAAGATTTCTCTTATTTATTATTGCTCTTACCTTCAGATTGTGTATTGGGAAATTCAGCTTTGAGTTGTCCTTTGGTATCTTATTGAATGAGAAATGACTGGTCTCTCATTTCATTTATTATTTCAAGTATATTGTACGACAGTGCATTTGCCATCGTCATTAAGATGCACGCTGCCAATCCAAGTGTGAGACAGTCTCACACTATTTAGCAGGGCTGGGAAATACCTAGGTAAAAAGTACCTAGGTACTGTACCTAGGTACTTTTTTGGTACCTATAACTGTACCTAGGTACTCAAGTCACAATTGTATCTGTACCTGTACCTAGTACTTTTGGGGCAGTAACTTTACCTAGAATGCAGGTACTTTTACAGGTACTTTTGGGCGCGAATGTAGGGAAAGACGGGTGATGAGATGCGCTCAGAACAGTGCGGGGATGAAGAAAGAGGACTGCCTGTTTTCGGGGAAGAAACAGATATTCGGCCCCGGGCCCCCTCATCTTTTTATGTGTCTCCTCCGGGCTCAATGTGGCAGGTCTGGTCACCGCATGCACTGCCAAGGTGAACGCAGAGGACTTGCACCATGAAACAATGGACACATCTCAGCAGGGCTCTTGGGGTTTGTCCCTAAAATGCGTTACCGGAACCATCCCATTATAGGAGCGAGGTCAAGGATGGTCCCTGGAGCCGCTGGCGATGCGGTGTGACGAATCGGGGTTGTAAACAGCACACACGTTGGCACGGAAGGGTCATTGACGCAAGAAAGTTTAAAGGGACGAAAAAGTCGCGCGAGGTTTGTTTTCGTTGCGTTACTGGGTGGATGTGTTGAAATATCAAAATAACTGAAAGTACCTGAAAAGTACCTAGGTATTTTGCCGAAGTACCTGTAACTGTACCTAGGTACTGAGCTCAATCAAGTACCTGTAACTGTACCTAGGTACTATTTTGATCCAGTATCTGTATCTGTACCTAGGTAAAAATATAAAGTATCTGTACCTAGGTAAAAATATAAAGTATCTGTCCCAGCCCTGCTATTTAGTGTGAACCACGATGTCTCACGCTTACATGTGTGAACCACGTTCGTCTCACGCTTGCAAGTGTGAGACACGGTATGTCTCACACTTGCAAGCGTGAGACCCGGTTAGTCTCACACTTACGAGCGTGGGTCCTGTGGCATTAAACCACAGGGAACCATTGGCAGCAAGTGTGGGACAGACCATGTCTCACACTTGTAAGCGTGAGACAAATGATGTCTCACACTTGCAAGCGTGGGGCAAACATGGCTCACACTCATGGGGTCCCCAACCAAGCCGGCGAGCGTACACTGCCTTTTTGACTTCTTTTGTGATTTTTTGATTATTTTTTGACTTTTTGATGAACTTTTCTGACTTTTTGCGACTGTTTAGCATTGGAACTATTTTCAATTTCAGACTTTTAATGACTTTTTTTTACTTTTTGGCCCGCCCTTCTATTCAAAAAATAGGGGGAGGGCCTATGCATTTGCCTTTGTGTCTGTGTTGTTGTTGTTGTTGTTGTTGTTGTTGTTGTTGTTGTTGTCGTTGTTGGCGTCTGTGTACAAGGAAGGAGTTGAGCTAGAGTAACCAGATTTGGAGGGTACTTCAGGAGTACCGTCCAAACAAATAATCCGGTGGTGCAAATCCCGTCCGGGTCGCACAAGGGCTGCTGCAGGTGCATCATGGTTTACATGAGCGGGAGGGGGATTTCCGCCATTATTAGTGCTAGCAGGGCACATAGGGGTATTTTTGGAATCGGGGCGACGAGACAAGATGAATGGACCCGGTCCCGACCCTATCGGCCGCTTTTACAAGTTGGCCAGATCAGGATCTTCAAAAAAGGGGGTCGACCGACAAAAAAAATTTATTGCAGATTTCGAATGGTCTCAGCAAGACCTTTTCAACGAGGGGTCGGAAAGGGGGTCCAGGAGCCCGACTTCGTCTATTAGTCACATCAGGATCTTCAAAAAAGGGGGTCGACCGACTGAAAATTTTTACTTAAGTTTTTGATAGGTCATGGCAAGACCTCTTCAACGAGGGGTCGGAAGGGGGGTCCAGGAGCCCGCCTTCATGAGTTATGGGGAAAAGTGCGACGGACTCGTTTTGCGCTCCTGCTGTGCCTCTATTGCAAGGAGTTGCAGTAGCATGGCAAATATGGGTATTTTCGGAATGAGGGCGAAGAGATAAATGAAATGGGCATATTCTAAGGACAGTTGGAGTAAAAAGTGTAAGGACTATTGCATATTGTGAATAGAAGGGCGGGCCTAAGTCACGATGGTACATCGATAACTTAGCTTTACCCGCTCACGGTGTGTGTGATGCGAGCGGGCCGAAGGCCCCGGCCTTCGACTGGCCAAGTTGGGTCTGATGCGAGG